TTTCAGGATTATGACGTCAAAGACAAGCACTGTTTGTTGTCTGTCTGACAGGAAGTCCAAAATCAGTTGCAGAGTGGAGTTTCCATTGCGAGCAGAAAGAGACTAACTCTGCTGCTGTAGGAGGATTGAGTTAAAGGCTGAAGGGAAGTCAGTGAAGACTGTTGCATTTTCTGTGATGGGGCAGTTCTTTTTGTTTAGTCCTTTTTTTTAAATTTACGCTTTTACAAGCGAGACCTGTGACACACATAGTGATCAGAATTGAACAAAACCGAAAAACACAAGCAAGTTTAAAATGATGATTTTTCTGTGTTCAAAATGTCCCAGTAGGATCAAACTGGACACTTTCAGTTCTTGCTGAGGTGAATTCCAAGAAGCTGGAGCAGAAAAGGAGGTCTTTTTTTCCAGAACATTGAAGGATTTGCAATCTTGAGAGCATAGGCTATGACTGCACTGTGACATCTTGGAATGTGGACAGGGAGGCAGCAGGCAGAGGATGGATTTGTAAATAAAAGTATACCAATGTGGAAGTCTGTGGGTAGATAATGACGACCAGTTTACCAGAGAGTACAGTGGTACAGTCTTTGGAAAGTCCCCCAAAAAGCCAAAAATGAAGATTAACAATTGCAAATGAATTTACAGATCTAAGTATTGGTTAGAGCAAAAACAGAAATTTTAAGGATTAGTACCAAATGACATGTGGTTTTAAAAAATTCCTGCCAAGAGTGCAGGTTGGAGCCCAGGTTGCATTGGGAAGAGGATAAGTTAATTTACAGAAAAAAACCTAAAAGCTGAGTATCACTGTGTGACACTTAGCTTTTAGCTTCAGATCCTGCAGTCTAAAAATCAGCTTTCATAAGTGCTACTCCTGCAGATGTTTTAAATTTCAAAACAAAATCTATGTAAGCCTACATATTTTTTTTGTAGCCACTCCTGTTTTTTCCTTTACCTCATCCACACATCCCTTGACAATCTTGACATTTCATCTAAAGCGTTTTTTTTAAAACCAATCACTCACACTTGGAGAAAACAAATAGATGGATGGCACTTCAAAACAGAACAAGGACAATAATTAATCAAGAAGCAGTGAGCATGGGAAATGGATACCACTTTAATGTTCTCCAGATTTCTTCCAGTGTTTTATTAAATTCTGCTTCTGCTGTCAGCGAGTAGATAACGCTTCTTTTCAAGAACCGGTGCAGTACAAATGTCTTCCACCCTTTGAACATGAAAACATTTTGCCTGCAAATACAATCACCAAACTTTCAAATGCTTTGAACCTGCTGGCCTTTCTAGGGTTTTTTTATTTTGTTTTTGCCTCTCTTTATCTGTGTCATTTTCTTCAAACTGCTCTTTTTTGGTTCATGATCTTTTTTTTTTACAGGAATTACCCCTGGTCAATTACTTCTTAACCATGCAGAAACCATTAATGGAGTCAAGTACAAAGGACAAGAAGGTTGTATAAACAGAAAAGGTAAAAGGAAAAAAATAGACTTTGATGTTCTGCTTTGAAAAAAAAAGACATTTTCAGCAACATGAAATACAAATATTAAAATTCCAACAGTGCAAATGTAACTAAATGTTTGGTGACAAACACTCAAGGCTGCAAAGTGACAAAGATATTTGAGAAAAAGTCATCTTTTTTTTTTCTTTTTTCTGACAACTCAACCGTATTATAAACAATGATTCATTTAACAACCTGGGTGCATGAGACTCACTCTGCCAGAAACTGTCCTGCTCCAGGGATGACATTTTGGATCAATCTGCATCGCAGTTATAACAGGAGTTAAACCCTCCTTATATGACTGTCACCTTGTGGATGCATAGACATTCAGGAAAACTCAATAACTAATCTTAATTGTATCACTTCTAAACAAACAATTATCATCAAACAAATTTAACACCTTAACTTCAAATATTTAAAAAGTGTAGAAAGTGAAAAAAAGCATCAGTGAGCATATCTCTTAAACATCTGTGCAACTCTAGCCAGATCTGCACACACTGCTCATATTTTCCTCAAAACTTTGGTGTTGCCTGTGCTTCCAACTTTGACACCTGCATATGCAATTCAGTGCAGTAATGTAGCCAAGTGTTCAAAAGCTGTTTTCAGTCAGCTAAGCTCAATAATTTAAATTGCAGATTCATGAGCGCTACAAATTTTTGTCCTTTAGTTGTTGAACTTCAATGATCCATGAGGAAAACCCAACACCTGGCACAAGTCTGTCAGAGCTGGCAGACCTTTAAGTTTGCCCAAAAGTGCCTTTTTGTTAATCAGCAATTCAAAGGTTAACATTCAATTTGTAGTAATAATTATAGTTTTAAATACATTTAGAGACCACAAACTTTTTTTTAATTTAAAGCAAATATTAAAACTATCTTGCAACGTTTAAAAAAAAGGTGGAACAAAAGGTTTTATTTTCTCCTCTAAGTTTGGAAAGAGAACACAACAAATTACTTGGTAATTTAACACCATTTAGCGAAATGTGTGTTTAAACAATGAGCCAAATAGCTGCTCTGGAAAATATACTACCAATAGAAAGTCTTAAGTCTGCTAGTATCGTCTTATCTTCTAATTACCCAAATTACTTTAATTACAATCCACATTTTTTGTGGCAGCCAGTCATACTTTCTGAAACTAATTTGCTTTAGTATAGTAAATCAATACAATATGTACAAAAGAAATATATAGATCATACTGACTGTCATGACCTCATATTGTCTGGATGTTCATTATCCATAGATCCAACATTATCTGCCTGCCAAAAACCTATTAGTGGTGCAAAGAAGCATTGCACATTCAACTGGCTTCACAGTGGAAAGTCATCTCTGACCTGGAGGCAAACTGTTAGCAGGCTGCTTTACTTAGCATACATTCCACGTGCAGACATCAAAGGAGGCCTGTTGTCTTCCATGCTGGCTGTAGGCTCAGCACAAAGCAACCTGTGCAGTCTTTGAAGCTGCAATCTCTAGTTCATAACCAAATAAAACCTGTACATTCTGAAGTCTGAATGTTATTATGCATTTTGGAAAAAAAAGTGCCTTTGTAAGGACTTTTGTCTTTAAGTCAAGGATTTCAGTAAGTTTAGCCTCTTTTGACAGCAGAGAAACACCATGAGCACTGCAAGTAACCTTTTAACAGGCATGCAACACAGACCAATGCAATCTATCACTAAATTGTCTTACTATTTTATACATTATATGGCTTCCATTGAGGTAATCGTTAATGTGACGTAATGACTGGAAAATGCTATTATTTTTTCTTTAGGGTCTGTTTGAGTATTTTAAAGAGAGAAATAAACTCCTTTGCTGAATATATACACCAGTTAGGAATAGAATGAAAGCTATGTTCTATATTGTATAGTTACTACTCCATGATGCCACAATGTTAGGCTTCCTAAATTCCTGAAAACACTAAAAGACCATCAAGATACTTGTGTTAGAAAATAGTAGCTAACAGGGGTGTTTTGTTACTCTCTTGTTTACTGTTAGGACTGTTTACCACACTGATAAAAATATATGGAATGTTGACCATTATATTCTAGGATAGAAAATTAATTTTTTTTGTTGTTCAAAGTAATTGCATTTTGAAAGGTAAAACAATATACTGGAATTCTTGAACCACCAGGGGGCAGTGATACTTGCACTGGAGGGGCCTGTGTGAAGTCATGAGTTCTGAAGGACAAAGATTCTGGGTACCAGTTGCTATGCTAGCTTTTCTCAAAATAAACCTAATTAAGCTTTATACGTTATATCAACATACCACAAATACACCATCAATCATCTAATCAGCTTTTGATGACGAAGACTTCAGTGACTTTGATGCAACTGGAAAAATCCACTTTTTTAGCCGTTAAATGCATTTTTCTGTTTACTTGGACTCTCTGAGTGCAGAAAATTGGAATTTAATCCTTCCCAGTTCTGCGTAGATATCTTTATGTTCTATTTGGATCTTTTTTTTTCAACCAGTTCAGTTTTCTCTATTTTCTGTGACATTTTCTGAACTATTAGGTCAAATTATTTGCAATGGAACTGCCAGATAAGGTCTGAACTTATCAACTACAATTTTATCATCTTCATTCTCCGCTCACTCTGGGTCAGACTCAGGCTCCAACATGTAAGGCTGGATGGACAAGTCTTCCCTTGTTGATATATTTTCAAATAAATTGTAAAAAAAAAAATGTTGCTGCATCGCTATATAGTCGTAAAGCCCTCTATCAAACTAAAATGGAAAGCTCTGGAAGCTGGAAGTGGGTGGAGTGTGAAGCGCCTCGTTGGAACTCATTTAAAGAGACAGCCTGGAAATTAGTTGATCTGAGACACACCTCAGAAAAGGGGTAAAAGAGGGGCTTGTGGAGTTACACTGCAAAAAATGTCCACCTAACCACGTTTGAAAATTTTATATCCAGCCAAAAAAGTCTTTTTGATCTTGTTTTGAGACTGATTTACTAAACAAGAACTGATTGTGTAAGAATAATAATCTTGTTTTCTGAATATGTAAGATTGTCTTGTTAGCCTGAGAATTTGACTCAAATCAAGTCAAAATATCTGCCAATGGAGTAAGAAAATTTTACTTGGTAAGACTTCATGAAATACTTGATTTGACTAAATTTTTTTCTTATTTCAAGAACCTTACCAAGCAAAATTTTCTTACTCCACTGGCAGATATTTTGACTTGATTTGAGTAAAAAATTTCAGGCTAACAAGACGAATAATAGTACACATTCTGAAAACAAGATCGTTATTCTTACACAATCAGTTCTTGTTTAGTAAATCAGTCTCAAAACAAGATCAAAAAGACTTTTTGGCTGGATACAAGATTTTAAAACTTGGTAAGATGGACAGTTTTTGCAGTGTACAACAAGAAAGAATTCAGACCAAAGCATTTCAGTTCCACTTTATATAGACCTCATGAAGGATTTAAATGTGAAACAGGAGGATTTAAAAGCACATTTGTTTCCATAGTTCACACATATAATAAAAAATAAAAGCAAATGTATTCTTACCTCAAAGACCTCATCATCCAGGATTCTGGTACCAAAAACAGTAATGCCATCCGTGTTGATCACAGCTTGGTCACTTCTTCTCAGTGGCTTGGTCACCTTCTTCTTACAGTCTACGATGATGGTAATGCTCTTCTTCTCAACGCTGATAGCAACTCGATGCCATCTTTTTAGGAAAAAGAAATTGAATGTCAATGCTTTTTTGTATTTCCTGTGTTTATAGTTGCAAATATATGTGATCCAAAGAGGATATCTAATGATTTTTGAGGTTGGGTACTGTTAGCATCTCATTTTTATAAATATAGGATAAAAAATGTTTGTTTGCTTGAGTTTTACTTTAGCTTGTTGCTTTCTACTACAAGCATTTTCTGTACAATCAGATGGTATTCGCTGATCAGGGTTATGTTTCATAAACATAAAAATTATTTCATATTCATATATTTTTCACACAAAGCCCAAGTCTTTGCTCTGTAACTGCAGTGTAGTAAGCTATTTGCCTCTAGTTCATCTTTGATCCTGCAGATAGACTTTAATTGCATCTACTATGGTAGTTGGACAACAGGTGATCTGCTGTGAGCAAGAGAAAACTTCAAAAGAAACGTTAGCAAGTAAAAAAATGTGTTTGACACACACCGGTCGGTCCTATAAGAAAGTTAAGAGTCTATGTGAGGGATGGGAACGTTATTTCGAGAAAAAAAAAAAAAACGATACTGAGACCCAACCTGGTCTGCCAGCAGGGAGGTAATTATATAACAGGAAGCATGCAGTTATCTGCTCCATTACTTATGCCTTATATACATAACAAAAGGAAATGAACTTTCAGCACAAAAGAAAGTTAATGTCATTTTAAAAATGTTGAACTAGTCCTAAAAATATCAACACAGTTCGTAATTTTGAGTATGAATCAGAGTATCTAAAAATTAACTATGTAACAGGTTCTACAAAATACGTGAATCTAAAAAGTACTAACAGAAGCAATGACCATACAGTAATATTACACTGTAATGCTTTTTATTTGCTAATATATTGCAGCCAAATGGTCAAATGGAGATTTTTAGTTAAGACATTTCTGTTAGCATTTATGTAAATGATTAATGGCGGTGTTTAAGAGTGGTTTGTATAAGCATCATTGGAGAGCTATGCAGTTCACGAAGATTCTGCCCATTACACCATATCACTGCACCACTGCTGTAAATTATCAAGAACAAACAAAGACTGTCATTAAATTGTTAACTGCAATTTATTTTGCCATTCTTGTCTGACTTGTTCCATGTGGTATTAATGCTTGAACAAACATATGGTGATAATAAATGTGCAGTGTTGTGAGACAGTTCTCCGGGCCAGAAAAAAAAAAGCTTGAGAAAATACTTCAACCAGATTGTTTTTATTTTCTTTTATCATAAAATATGACCTATAAATCTTAATCAGATTATTAAGATGAGCCTCAAACAGCGCCGCTTTGTTACTGAGATAATCTTCACAAAACACTCTGTGGAGTTTTTTTTTTTAGTCCAAACCTAAAATCCAAGAGTTGGTTTGATCAAACAAGAAGGCACAGTGGATTCAGGAAGTACAAAAAGCCCAACCACCCACGTTCTACCTCCTCTGCTCTGAAGGCTTCTCGGGAAGCAGTCACTTACTTGCCATCAGCAAGGTTGATGGAGCGGAACAAAGGGTACTCCTCTGGGGCGGGTTTGCCGTGCTGGTCCTCGTACAGGAAGACGGGGGTGCGGCCCACCTCCACGCCGAGCTGCTGGATGCCTTGGTGGTTGTAGACAGACAAAAGGAAGGACTGCAGTCCAGCCTTCGGCTTGATGGTAAAAAGAATAGAGAAATCTTCAGGGAAAATCCCTCCTGAAGGGAGAACAAGAAAGCAAACATATTAGTAAAGAGCAGAAGATTAAAAAAGTAATAAAATTATCAACATGTAACATGTTGGTATAAAACCACATGGGAGGGGTTGATTGTTACTTTAGTACAGAATAAAATTACTCTGTCAGAATTTATTTTTACTCTATTTCACACATCCCTCTTTATTGTCATTACAGAGGCACTTGTATAATAAAAACTAAATAAAGCTTTGCCAAGTTTATTAGCTTCGTCAGTCACATTAAAATCTAAAGTCCAGCTGGATTTATGATGGAGGCCAAACGGTGCCTTGAAATAACTTCATTTACAGTCACAAGTTTTACAAGAGCTGTAAATAAAATATTTCAAACAAAAGTCATATTTTTAAAACCATAACTTGCTTCATTTAATCCTGATCAAATAAAAGTTCACTTTTTAATTAATTTAATAATTTATTTATTTTGCCTGGTGACATTTTGTCACGTGGTGGCAGCTCAAATGTCACCTCCTTAACTTCATCCTCAAATTTCCCCTTACTGAACGACATGTTGGCAGTTTAAGCCTACAATTAGATGTCCATTTGGTAATACCTCAGTTTACTTTGGCTTTAATTTCGATTTTATTCTTTAAGGTTGAGCTAAATTCAGAAAAAAAGAAAACAGCAAAGGTGGGGGACAATTCATGTAATGAAACTCTGTCAGCTACATTTCTCCAGCCCCTCTTGCCAAGTCATTTTTGAAATAAGTGGGCCACTGGAGGCTCTTTCAGCACTTTGCACCAGGAATTAAGAAATAACAAGCCACAAAGTTATGTGACTTGTGTTGCTATATGTCATTATCCATTTTATGGAAGCATTATAAAACGTTTTTATTTCTATATCTTAAAAAGATTATCAGTACCTGGCAGCAAGCAAGCATCAGTTAAAGGTTAAATGTTCTGCATTTCGTTATTTAWTAAAGATAAGTCACTTTAGTTTAATCAATTAGTATCTTAATAAAGCAATTTTTCAAGTGGATTCATTTGAATAAAAACAGTTTAATTAGAGCCATCCAAGCAGTGGATTATGATGTACAAGAAAAAAATGTTTCAAGTTCCTGCTGAAGGCCAGTGACTTTCATACACTTCACCTAAACACCACTGATCATTTTTGAGATGTTTCAATATTACTTGTTCTGCTCCAAAAAACTTCAGTTTAAACAACTTTTTACTTTGTTAATTACTATTTTCTCTATAAGAATTTAAATAAGTTTTAAATAATTATAATGTGTACTTTGCCTATGACAATAACCAGAATCATTGACATATATTTATCATTATTAAAATGTGAAAAAAAAATGTAAACAGAAAATCAGCCTAAACATCTAGTTTTAGAGTGCCTATAAGGTTTTCAGAGCAGGCCTACAAGCTGCTTTCAAATAAATATCAAAATAAAGATTCAAATCACAACATCTGAACACACGTGTCATAGGACTTTAAAAACTGAACACGTTTTTTTTTTAAACTCACTTGATTTATGTCCCGATTCATTTGTGTTCTTTAGTTTAAAGCAACAGAACGAGCAAAGACAATCGGCCACAAGCTGCTTTTTATTTTTTATTAGAATCTGTTGTTTAGAAAGATAAAAAACTTATTCTCCCTTACAAAGTTCATGTTCATAAGTTTCGTGTATTTAGCTGTAACTAAAATGAGTCCTTAAGTGTGATGTCCTGATACAAACCTGGGAAGAGCTGTTTGGTTGGAGCGCTGATTTGAGTCGTTTTCCCCACTCTGTAAGCTATGTCAGGTTTGGATCCTCGTCGGACTGTGCAGAAACCGGGAGTTTTCTGGACTCCTTCAGGAGAGCTCTTAAAGTCTAACGCTTTTAGTACATCCACTGGTTCAGCTGAGGAAACAAAGAAACAAACTGGTTAAATTTGTATTATACATAAATGTTGTGAATCAGTGATTTGTTGTGAGAATAGACTTGTGCAGCATTAAGAAGTACTTTACTTGTGTTTTTTCTTATTTATCTGAGTGATCTGGGCAAACTGAAATTGTGAGTATAAATTTTTATAAATAAATCTGAAATGCAAATATGTTTAGTTATTTTCAAAACTCTGTAGTGAAAGTCCAGCTTAGTGAGGGTTTAGACAGAAATTCAAACTGTAGAATTTCAGTCTGTTCAGCTGGTGCTGAAATACCGAATAAAAATACATTAGAAATATCATATTACTATTTGTGGAATTTGCAACAAAACTCGTGCAAAACAGTTTGAAGAAAATCTCAAGGTATTTCCAAAGGGCTAACTGTTTACAGCCCCATTCATTTAATGTATTTCATGGTACAGAATGATTGACAGATGTCCGGTCCCGCCCCCTAAGTTTACTGCTCCTTAGGGCTGATTTGGTTCAGCCCAAGGCCACAAGCTGTATCCAATGAGGGTGGATGTACAGCACAATAATGTGCCACCAGTGTGAGCGTATGTGGGTGTGGTTTGGCTTTGGTTGGTACGATGGTGGGTAAGTTTAACATAAACCAGATGGGTTATTTATTATCTCACCCATTTTCCTTAATGTCTTTGGAGGAAAAACTGCATTGGGGTGAAAAGATAGAAAGATATTCAAATCTAGCTAAAATAAAAGAGGTAAAACCAAAGTTTTCTGTCAAACGGTTTCAGTGAAAGGATTGGCCACTGGCAAATGTAGCTAACAAATCTCTACATTTCTAAATATCATAGAATTTTTGTACTTCTGAAAAGGCTGGAAAAGGTACCATCGTGATAGAATCAACATTACTTACTGTATGTAATACAGTAAGTAATGTTATAACCTACAGTATAGGTTAGTTGTATTCAGTGTCATAAAGGAACAAAAAAGTTGCTGTTAAAGATTAAATCATTGCAAGTTCTACAGATTTTGTCCATGGGGAAAATATTCAAATTAACATAAAAAAAAGCACATCACGTACATTAGGACACAATGAAAAACAAAGGTATTTTTTAAAACGATGTATAAAATACAATGTAAGTTTGGTTTGAACAGTAAACTGTAAGCAGCAATACTCAAAGTTAACATCAGATTATGGCTGCAAGTTGATAATAAACCAACGACTCTTCGCCTGTTCACAGACTGCTGGCTAAATCTGTCAGTTCAGTCCTTTGTTCATTTATGAGCTGCCTTGGTAGAAGAGCAATAAAAGTGTTAGCAACCATTCAGCAGACATAATTGCCCTCCCCTGTTAGCCTTACAGCCAAAGAGCCTCAGCATCTGCGTGATGATAAAACTCACTCAGCAGGTCCTCAGAATAAATAAAACTCAGCGGGGGATGCACCCTTACGGGCTTCTAAATACTCATTTACACTCTCCTAATGCTCCTTTCTATCAATGGAGTTTAGATCTGAACGACCTTTTAGTCATAAACACTGTTTCTCTGTTTCTTTCTCCCCTGCTGCTGTTAAAGTAAGGAGCAACAGTTTGATTTAAAGGAGGCAAGATTGTGGGTTTAAGAGGGGAACTGGGAACACAGTTGTTCCAGGACAATCTACAACCCTCTGAGGAGAAAGAGGGTATTTTCTATGTTTTATCTTAACAAGGATAATATACATACCCCGTGGTGGAAAAACTGTCAGTTATTCTTTGAGGGGTATGGAAGGAGGTAGTAATAACATAATGATATGGTCTCTACGTCTTACAGAAACTGCTTGTGCTGATGTGTAAAAATTATAGTCATGGATAAATATTTGGAGGATACCTTATTCTGCATTTCAGAATGTTCAGCTTATATGCAGCTAAAAGCTGGCTTTAGTTTTTTTTTTACAATAAAAGCTCAGATATATGATCCCAAAGCTCTTTTTATGACGATGCAAAGTACTGCCTCCTGACTCAATTAAAAAATCATGTAAGAAAAATGACTGAAAGTTTCATTCCGTGATAATTTGTGTAAAACACTCATTTTGGACTCAACCTTCATCATCCTTGCTGTCTTTTCATTTTTTTCTTTCTCTTTCAGTTAGTTTTATTTTGTTACTCTTACTTCTAAATTTTTCATTCCTTAATTTTAAATGAAGATAGATTGATACATTTTTGAAACATGGGGAAAAAAAGCCATTACACATTTATTGTCAAGACAAAACTACAACAATGCAGCTTTTCACACAATGCTTTCCTGTAAATATTAGACCTAGAAGTGTAAAGCACCAAAGTAAAAATACTTTGTTTCTTGGCCCCTGAGTGGCCATACCACCCTGAACACACCAGATCTCATTTGACTCTTGGAAACTAAACAGGATTGGGTCTGGTTAGTAATTGGATAGGAGACCACCAGGTGCCATAAAACCAATATAGCAGTTGTACCCACATAGGGTATGAAGGATGACTTATTTACTTAAGTATAAATTTTGGTTATCTATAATCAGCCAATTTTTTGCTACATTTTCACACAATTTTCTGCACTTTGTACTAATTTCGTTTGAAAAAAGGTAAGAAGTAGAAAGTTGTTGCTTCATTCCAGCTTGTTCTTATTTAAAAAAATAAAACAAAAACCCATTCCGATATATGGTGCCTCTTGAGTAGAGTGAGTTTAACTGTGGTTGGAGAAGTATACAGTAAGTGCATCCTGACACCATATTGGATGTTAGCGGTCCATCACACCTGCACATGACACAAATCACATCACCTCTGACTAGCTTAAGATGTACATGAAGATAACCGTATATATGCATCTGTGTATCCTAACTTTTTCAACATTAGCAGTAACATTACAGGTTTTATAGCCTTTAGCATATTATTTTAAACACCCTTATAAATGCCATTTTGTACTTTCTAATGGCTCACTTTTACACTGTAAAAAATGAAATGTTGGATTTACTTAACCATGTTATGTTACCTGGTTCCACTTAACTGATTTGAGTAAATTCAAAGCAATACACAAATTTTTTTAGCCAAAGAACTTGAGTATGTTGCTTTGAATTTACTCAACTCAGTTAAGTGGAACCAGGTAACATAACATGGTTAAGTAAATCCAACATTTCATTTTTAGAGTGTACCCAGTACGTTTACTTTTAATAGTTTTGTACATTTTATATCAAAAATTGTTATTTAAGTACAGTAAATTTCAGATACTTTATGACTTTTACTCAAGTAATATTCATGGGAGTCTAACTTTTACCATTGTAATTTTAAGGTAAAATATTTGTACTTTTACTCAACTACGAGGTGTTTTATGGAACACTGGACTTACTTGCTGATACTGAAATAACAAAGAGCTGAATCAGGCTTTGGTCTAACCAAAAGTACATGAATAAATGACATTTCAAGCACCACCACCGCCAATACTGTGTTTTAGAAGAATGAAGGCTTTGGTCACTCATACCCATTCATTTTGAATGAGTGGGTGTGTCCAAAATGCCCAACCTTGACATGCGTAATTATACATCCCTGGTCCTTCACTCTCACTTTCTTTCTCCTCATTTTATCTTTGTCTCCTGGTGCTGTTCATAGAAGTCCTTCCTCCGTGCACACCGTTAGCCGCAACGTGATGAACAGCACTGAGCATGTTGTTTTAATGCTGTGGAATAAACAGTAGTGTTGGCGTCATCTGTGATTAAAGCGTGTCTGCCAGAGGCTGCATTTGTTTGAAAAATACCCAGTGAGCAGAGGCCATCAAACCAAGATGCTGCTGGAGATAGAAATGAATATGGATAAACAAAACTACTGAGAAGTATGATTTTAACAAAGTTGAACATTGTGGCTTTTATTTGGCATCTGTAACTATTCTGTTACTTGTGTTTTAGTGTCAGGTAAAATAGTGAGAAACTTCTCCATCTGACTCAAAGTTAAAGTGACATGTGGGAAATCTTTTTTTTAATTGTTTTTCTGATGAGCTTGGAGGCATGATGCCAATCAGAAAGACCACAAGCCAAACAAACAGCTTATGTTTGCAGTCAGAATGTCAAGACTTTGCATTTTAAAGTATTTTTGAGCTAACGTTGAACTAATATTAGCTATATTATAAAACAACCAAGAAATCCTACGGATGTTGTCATTTTATTAAACATCATTTTAGTAATTTTAGGAATTTCTGCTTCAGGTCAAACTTTGAATTAAAAAAAAAACCTAAATTAAATCACCTAAAATTAAACTATGAACTTGGGAGGATATTGGGGCTTATAATGGATATAACCAATGGCAAGTGAAAATAAATCTAGTGTTACAGACACTCTGAAAAAGCACCAAGGCACACGAGGACAGCGTTGCCAAAATACTAAATTGACCAAAGACCATGAGAAAAATCTTTTCTATAAACTTCACTCTGTCTACCAAAAAGCACTGAAAGCTATTTTGTTTAACTGTTACAGAAACCCCAGCAACAAAAGCAACAAATATCACCATAGCTGTGTCTAGATGTCGCTTGACTCATCTGTTGTTTTCCACTGAGTCGAGAGGCAGAACGTGCCTTACTGAAATGCTCAAAAATGATAAACAGTGTCGGAATGATGACCCTTGAAACCTACAAGCCCAACAGGACTTGTAACAAAAAGGCAGACAAAGGTCACATGAGACACTTTTTTGTAAAAGGGAAAAACAAAAATCTGAATATGACAAAAATAAAGTAAAATAAAAGTGATTGAGGTCTAAACTCTAAATACATCCAATAAAGTATAACGAAGGAGCATTTATAAAGGCATATATATAT